ATTTAGGAGAAGCGGACAGCGGGCAACAAGGCAGACAAATAAGTGTCTTGTGGAGAGTCGCGGCATTACTCACAGCCTCGAGCCCTCAAACAAGTCTCTCCAGCAAGAAATTGAAGAACTCTATAATGTGCACTCCGTCCATCCGTCCTCTTTCTTAGGCCGGCTGTTGATCCCGATCGTTCGACGAAAATCAGACCCATTGGCACAATGTAGCTCAAGGTCGTGAGTTCTGGCCCATGTGGGTCGACAGCGTTTCTCGATTACGGAACAAGAATAGCCCCGTCCAACTTCAGGAAGTGACTCTCTTCTAGGGATGAAAGGGATGTTGAATCAACGGGCGGTGAGCGGGTAGTCGAGGAATTGGTTCGGATTTGCCGAACCCCAACATGGTTAGCCGTCTTGGAGGGCTCTCGATCCATGCGCATGACCCATCATCTAGGTTACTAATCATTCCGAAACCGAGTCAGTGTAATGCAGAGAAAGGTCACTAACGGAGCGTAAGTTTCTGCGCGAGCGAGTCGCCTATTCCCCGGTCAGTCGATGGCTTTCAGCTGAGTGAATGAAGTTCATCTCCCTCAGCATCCCCGCAGCTCACCGGAACGTATATCCGTAAATATCCCGATAATTGCAAAAACCCGTGGATGATCAACGGCACTGTAATGAGGTTAGTGATGCGCTCCATAAGCTCCAGCACACAACAAAAGATATCTCTCTTCATCACACGTTCCTCGGCTGACAACAGCTACCGGAGGAACGCGGGCACTGATTACATGTAAATCCGTGAAAGACGGCCTCAATTAATACGCACGCGCGTGCGGCAGCTCGCGTCCATGTTTAATCCAGTCATGCAGTCGAGATAATCTCTAATCGCTCGACGGGAAAACTCGTACGTCGCGAACCAGATTCCGCTGTCGGAGCACTTAATCGGAGAAACCCGCATTTTCTGATCACTCCATCAGCGACAGGTAGTCAGAACTCGATCAGACCCTACTCTGCTCTGCTCAGTCAGTCAGTTCAGACCCTGAATCGATCCTTCGATCCAGAGTAGGACCCTGTTCATTCCATCGGTCTCTCCTGTCGTTGTCGGCTAGCTCGGTGCGATTCGGAAGAGCATTGTGCTGACTTGCTTTTATTTGTTTACGAGCTATCCGTAGCAGTTATTTTGTCTGCAAGATACGCAGGTGGAAGGGCGCAAAAGGACAACGACCGATCGACGGTGGGAGCAAGGCGAGCAACAAGCGCCCAGATGAACTAGATCGCGCAACCCCAATGGAAGAGAATCAGGAAGTCCCACGTGTCACCCCGGTTGGGATTTGCGAGCAAGCTACCATAGTCCCGCTGCTGTGTTACGGAGAGCCTGCTGGTTTCCCGTCAGTTATGGGCCATTAGTCGTCTGAGCGATCGCCTAGGCGAGCCATCTGACCGACTCACGGACGGTCGAAGGAACGAGCGAAGTGACTTCATGTCCGGCAGTGAGTCAGGGTGACATGGAGGTCCTTGCGTACAATCTTTCGGAATATATCAAGCCGCTTCCAAATCATTCACCGACGCTCCACTGGCCGGACTAATGTATTCACTGATTACGACTCCTACTCGAAAGACATCTCAAGCGATATCTTGACTCTTTCGTATGATGAACTAAGTATTCGACTTCGGTTCCATGCGATATGACCATGTTTCCCGGATTCCTCTCATGAGTCACGACTAGTTTATTATTATTCAAGTATGTATAGCTATTGTATAGATAGTTCAAGATCAAGTACAGGTTATACGGTTATAGCATAGTCGTGTATCGCCACAATGAATCAACTCGGAAGCATTCGGACCATTCGTGTTCCGATGGAGACCAAGGGACGCTGTATCGGGCACAGACTCGCGTAGATGCCCTACCTCCGAATCTGATTTTGTCACCAGAAACATCGGCGGACTTCAGAATTCCATCCTGGAACGCTGGCGCAGTCTGAAAACGGAGCCGCATCTCCCTCAACTCGTCCACTACAGACAAAGCATAGCCTCGGTCCTCTACCATTCGGGAGGGAATTCGCAACAATGATGGACTTCTCCTGATCCCTGATGCGGCTTCGGCGATTCGAGCTCCCCCAAGCAGGAGTGGCCTCATTCGGAGCTCCAGATCAAATCAAGACCTGTGTTTGATATGTAACCCTCAAACGAGGTCCAAAACGTTGCCGAAGGATCTGTAAGCAGCTTCTATCCGGAATTCTCGTAGCTCCGCGATCCGTTGCTCATTCCAGCGGACCACGAGTACAGGTTCGAGAATGGCAAGGAATATACAATAGATTGCAGGAGATTGCAACATGGCTGAAGCTCTCGATGTCCGTGGAATAGATCTTCGCAATCGAGCGGACTCGACTGCGATCCTCGCTCCGAGCGAGAATCGCTGAACGTAAAAATTGGTGAGCGAGGAGGGAGAGGGAAGAACTCCGATTTCAGCCCGCCGGGTCGGATATTGGTACCTGAATGAGGGGACCTCTCAGTGTAAAGTCAATCAAGAGGCGCATCCATTGAGCGCGATCGTCGTATTATGCCTCCCGGGACAGACTGTACCTAGTTCCTCAAGCATTCCAATCGCTCCATCGGCTTCGTAAGTTTATATCTATTAAGGAAATCTAGGAACGTGACCAGGTCCATCCTGGGGGACTTCGACGAGTAGGAACAGAAAATCCAAGGGGTGAGAACGGTGACGACGATGACGACGAGGGAAGAGGGAAAGGAAGAGCTACGATGCTGTCCTCCTGGGGTCCTGCTCCCCAGCTCCGCTGAATGAAAAGCTGTGCGGAGACTTTGAGATGCCATTGGGGGCTGCTCTCTGTGTGGAAGTACCGGGCGGGGATGATCATTAATCAGGCGCTGTTCCGCCGCTACCCCGAGTGGCTCCCGGCTGGACTGGCCACAAGTTGTTGCTCTTCTTCATTTGCTTGATGAAGTTATTAGTTTGAAAGAGCGCGGGGAGCCTCCCGCCCTGTTCCCACCCCCGTACTCTCACCGGACTCAATCGATTTCGATGAGAGTAAGGTGTCGTACGACAGAACCGAATTCCCCGGGAAGACTGCCATCCCTCCGGACCCGATGTGACGCCACACGGTTCCAGGGGTAACTTCACGGCCTCAAGCGTTGTGTTTCATTTAGAAATTCGGATCTTCTCCGATCTGCACTGATTTTCCCGAGGATAATGAGAGCGATTTCCCCGACGTCAAATCGAATAACGGAAATCCCATAAAAACGTTTTATAATGCCTGGTCTTCTCGGCTCGTCGCCGTATCTCCAATCGGAGTCAGTGAGTTGCAGCAGCGGCAGCAGCAGCCACTCGTATAGCCTCGCGCTCTCGCGTGACGCAGATGGCGCGCAAATATTCGGATGGCTCCTCGTGCTGAGGAGCATGGGGAAAAGCCATTTGCCCGCTCCTTCAATACGGCTCCGTTCGAGGCCATGCCGCCCTCCTACTTACTATGTCCCATCCCCGTTGCTTCTCTCCCCTGCGGATGCTGCTGACCATGAATAAAAAAACGGAACGACCAGGCTGCGATCTTCACGCTGATATCTGTTCTCTGGAAAAGTGCTGCTGGCGGCCCGATGCTCGTCTGCGAGGGCGCCGCGAGCGAGCTCCGCTCCTCCGATCCGCGAGTCGACCTGGGTGCCCGGTCACAACCACAGTCAAACATGAAGAGGGGAATTCTTCAATGGGCTTGGAGGGACCTGTCGGAACGGTTTCGCTTCGGAGTTTCCTACTCGCAAGAATAGGTCCAGTTTGCGGGATTCGATTAGCACTGGATGGTTTGGGGCCTAGACCTGGAAATCAGTCCGTTAAATCCAAACGTCCGCTAGAGGGTCCGCTATAACCGAGCCACTCAACATTGACGAGACCATAGTCTGATCCGGGAGCGAGAAATCGGTGTGGCCGGGTGTCCGCTATATCCGGGCCCGCGACAACGAGGTGCTACGAGATCAAAAATAGGAGAATAAAACAAGGGGTGTCCTCATTATGAACGATTTCGCTCCCTCGTCCACGACGCACAGTGGTCCAGAATCGGCAAAAAAAAAAGTTCGCCACCGAATGCTTCCAAAACGATTTCTCAGCATAGGTCTCGATGCCCGGACTCCATTTTGGGTCTCGGAGGCTGCGCGTTTGTGCGCGGAGCATTCTAATGGCGATGTTCTCTGACGGGAATTCATCCCAGAATATGGTTGTCCGAATGAAAGGAGAATCATTCCCCGAAGTGAAAAGGAAGAAAAAGGAAGAAAAAACAAAGAAAAAAGAAAGAAAAGAAGAAAGAAAAAGGAAAGAAAAGAAGAAAAAAAATGGATTTCCCGAGCTAGGCGTCCTGGGGAGCCCTGATCGGTCCTCTTTGGACGCTAGAGATTAGATCGGCCATCTCGGGCTGAGTCTCCACTAGAGAAATCATTTCCGATTTCGCGACTCTGAAAGAGATCTATATTGAAGCGCTGAAGCTTTGAACTCACCCGAACAACAAAGGCGATTAGCCTTTGATGTCTGCACCCCGTCATTTCGGCACCACATGATCCGTCAAGTCCAAAGAAAACTTCTACATCTGTTTGAAGAGTTTGATGCGACATGTGGCTCCATTTGGGTACTTGCATTTCGGGGTTGTAAGTCAAATCACCGACTCAATCGAGCATCCTCTCTGAAGAACGCTCTCTGTCTCTCCACCGGAGCCGTATTTCAGCAACCAACGCTTGGACATGGATGCGCTACGAGCTCTGTGTGCGGAACTCCCTACTACTACTCTGCTTTTTGCTACGTGATCAAAGCCTTCGAGCTAGTTTCCAGCCGATTATCCCCAGAAACTGTGATCAGGGGTTCCAGCCTCCAAGTCTTCCACCATTCTTGAGCGGTACGAGTCTCCGCCCAGGATCGGTTTCCCTTCCGGGCGAGACTCTCATGCTCTGGAATCACGGAGTGTGTCCCTGACCACCGTGGTCGCAGGTTTGGTGATACGAGGAGGATTCGTCCCCAAGGAGTGATGGATGTTCGAGAAATCTCAAACCGTGAGCTCGCCGAGTTCGCATTAGAACACAGCAGAGATAGGGCGAGGATACGGCAAGCTCTCGGAGCGCGATTCCCAACCCTGAATGGAGACCAATCGCAGGCCCTCTGGGATTACATGGACCAGTTCTTCTTGAGGAAGCTCGCTGGAAAATGGGCGGCCGCAAACAGGCACGCGAAACGTTTTTTCGACGCAGGGAGTAATCAGGAGTGGTTAGCAAATACCTTCAAAGTGACTCGTGAGGCGGGAAATCGTGGCGAAGGCTCATCTGATGCCGGATATAACCTCTCGCAACCATCTACCCCAGAATCTGTTCGCGGTCGTCCTCGGAAGAGTTTCAGTGAATCTAGCGATCGGGGCCAACGCAGGAAGATCCTAGAAACAAGAGAGGATATCGACCCCGAGCTACTGCGACGAGCAAAACTTATACCCAGCGTCAATCCCCTGATGGCTCTACAACTCTTGCTCGATCTGAACATAGCGAAGGAACTATACATAGATCTGAGACTTGAATTGAGGAGAGAGCTTGGTTTTGATGCTTTCCCTGCATACAACAAGGTGTTGACTGAGAAGAAACAATGCTATCCGACCAACATCGAGGCAACAGAGAAGCACGCTTCCGTCCCGCTGAAGGATCTCCTTGAGCACTCTGTGAAGCGATTACTAAGCTCGCTACCGGAGCCAGAATTCAACCTGTTGGAGGAGCACTTGACTTTCTTGTCAAAATGGGGTTGCGATGGATCGTCTGGACACTCGGAGTACAAACAGGCGTCCTTGTGTGATTCTCTTTTCGGACGGTTAATCTATTTATCTTTCTGCGACCTCTCTCCGACTCAGCAAGACTTCTGAGGAAACGGTTATCTTCTGGAACAATCCCAAGCCTTCATCTACGAACTATTGTCGACCCCTTAGATTCGAGCTGACGAAGGAGACACCGGAAGTGATCAGAGCACACGTAGCTCGAGTCGAAGAAGAGATATCGGACCTCGAAACATTCGTGGTAACGGTGAGAGGATCAACTTTCTCAGTGGACTTCAAAATGATCCTATCAATGATCGACGGCAAGATTATCCAGATCATCAATGAAGTGCCTTACATGGCTCAGTGCGTAATTTGCAAAGCCAAGCCACCTGAAATGAACTCATTGGACTCAATATATGCGAAACCGAGTCATTTGCCGCCTTCGCATATACCCCTATCGCCTTTGCACGCCAGGATTAAGGTCATGGAAAACCTCCTTAAAATAGCCTATAATCGGCAATTCGAGCTATGGGGTATACCGACAGCTTTGAGACCTCAGTGTAACGCTATCAAGGCGGATATACGAAGAGCCTTCAAGGCGCGTCTTGGCTTGATCATCGACAAAGTGAAACAGGGCTTCGGTACGTCAAATGATGGAAACACGTCGAGGCGGTTCTTCGGGCATGCTGAACTATCGGCCGAGATCACGGGGCTGCCCCTGGATTTGATTCAGAGATTGGGTACAATCCTAGACACGATAAACTGCAACAGCAAGGTGAATGTAGAGAAATTCTCTTCATATTGCCGTGATACAGCTAGGATATACGTGGACTTGTTCCCGTGGTACCCGATGAGCAATTCTCTGCACAAAGTTCTTGTGCACAGCAGCTCAGTCATCGCGGCAGCCCCTGTGCCTCTGGGTGCACTTAACGAGGAAGCGCAGGAAGGCCTGAACAAGGTATATCGTCGAGTGCGAGAGTCACACTCACGCAAATGCAGCCGAACGGCCACGAATGAGGATGTTCTCCACTACATGTTGGCGAAATCCGATCCTTGCGTTAACAATGCTCGTTCACCGCGTCGAGAACCTCAACACCGACTGAATCCAAACGTTTTGGAATTCCTATTGGAGCCCAGCGAATCTGCAATCGTCGAGGACTCCGATGATGATCAGGATTCAGAGGATGTTGAGGACTGTGAGGACTTGAGGGGTTTCGAGGATTCCGAGAGCGTAGCAGAGTCCGAGAGCGTAGCAGATTCCGCGGATTGTGAGGACGGGGATCTCTAAGCCCGTAATGTGATATATTCAAGCATATACGATTTCTGATGGATAATAAAATCGAAAATGATTTCTCTAGTGGAGACTCAGCCCGAGATGGCCGATCTAATCTCTAGCGTCCAAAGAGGACCGATCAGGGCTCCCCAGGACGCCTAGCTCGGAAAATCCATTTTCTTTTTCTTTCTTTCTTTCTTTCTTCTCTTTTCTTTCTTTTTTCTTTGTTTTTTCTTCCTTTTCTTCCTTTTCACTTCGGGGAATGATTCTCCTTTCATTCGGACAACCATATTCTGGGATGAATTCCCGTCAGAGAACATCGCCATTAGAATGCTCCGCGCACAAAACGCGCAGCCTCCGAGACCCAAAATGGAGTCCGGGCATCGAGACCTATGCTGAGAAATCGTTTTGGAAGCATTCGGTGGCGAACTTTTTTTTGCCGATTCTGGACCACTGTGCGACGCCGATCTGAATGCCTTACTCGGGGATAGAAATCACGACCTGCTCCGTTTCTAGTACAGTTTTCGCAAGCGTGCCAACTCCGCTTCGGCTCCCGAACCGTCTACGGCAGCGCTTCCCGATTTCTTCCCCGCGCAGGACCCCCTCGGAAGTCTTCGACCCCCTTTGCGAATTCATTCCGAGAGAACAGGTCGGTGACTTCGCCAGACAAAGAAGATTTCCCTGTTTTTCATTGAACAAGCCCTCTCAGTATAGAGAGGGATTCTGACGTGTTCAGCCTGGTCGATAATCTTGCAGGCTACGTCGAGCTGTGTGGCGGAGGATCATACCTAAATTATTTCCACCGACCTTCCGGACCCCGAGGAGAGCCCTCCTGCCACCAAGACTTCTGTAAGTAATGCTAAAGTATGGGAGCGCTTCGCTATTTTCGGTTCTCAGCCGCATGAGGAACACGTTCCGACCCTCTCCCAAAAAGTCTCGTGTATTCGCTTGGTTCAAATTGTGATGATAGAGAGAATCCTCGGGAGAAGCCGCTCGGGAGCACAATGCAAGAACGCATCTGGAAAACAGAAAAATCGATCACCGTGTCGGCATTGCACCTATGCTTGAGAGAGGGAGTTTTTCTCAATATCGAAATGGATAATACAGTGAAGTCCCGTTTCAACGAATTTTCAGTAGAACTTCTTCCCCCCTCTACTTGGCTGGGATGCCATAGAGATAATGGCAGAAAACATTCTTACAGCGAACACTTATTACAACGAACACATCTTTCTGGTCCCGCAAGGCTCGTCATCCCAAGGTTTCACTATATCACAATATTATACCATGTGTTGTGATACAATGATCGAGTCTGCATTTGAGCATCGGTGACGGGCCGGAGCCGACTGGTAAATACCAACACTTTTCCTAGCGGAAGATCCCACACGAGAAGCTCTGCTTTCGGGACACATTTTTCATCCTCGAAGATAGGCGCCGATTGCCGAACGTTTGTGCAGCCAACTCCGCGCAATGCTCCAATGTGTACCCAGCTGAACTCCTCCTTGAGTTCAGCATTCCCACAGGAGAGCCTCCCTCACCATCGGAATAGACCGAGCCCTGTAAGTTTTGGAGGAAGTCGCGGATACGTGATGATATCGTCCCATCAAGATATTAGCAGAAGACGCGGATATTTCAAACTCCAATCGCTCTGGGCTGGCTTGGCCGGTGATTCGAGCAGCGAAATTCAACATCCACGCTGCATCGTTCTCAGTTACCACGGGTTGGCAGTCAACCATGAAAGTATACAGTACGGGTAACGTACAAGGACTGCGCATACGACCGCTATCTTTTGCGAAGCTTCAAGGGAATCAAGAAATCGTGGAGTTCCACGATTCCCGCTTCCGATGGAGTGAGGGTCAACAGACACCGGAACCAAAAGAAGGAGTTCCACAAGAAAAGCATCCCGCACCGGCCGCTATGATTTTCGGGAGGGACCGACGAATCCGAGCCCCATTAGCTCACCTTGAAAGGCGAGCTCGCTCATATGTCCCGACCGTAGGCAGCTAATTTAAATTCGGAGCATGTGCGTCGGAATATTCGTGACTAATAGTAATTATCTGTCCGAAACGTGTATCCCTGCCAGCGACAGACCGAAATCTAGAGCGATTTAGCACCGGAACCACATGGCACAGATTTGCCGACCCACCGAGCCAGTCACTCAGACCGTGTGGGATGGGCCATCGGAGGATCTTGGTACTTCGTTCGAGGAGGAGTAGTCCATATATTTTTGACCTCGGATTTCCCGCATGTCCCCCGCAGTACAGGCACTCCTAAATGTATCTTCCTGTGGAGCTTTCTAGAATTCTAAAGCCAAGGGACAACGAGCCTGTGCGAGGTTTCGTCCATGGAAAATGGAACAGAATCACAAACTCTTAAAGTAGCATTCGTTTGAAGCTGTTATCACGAGCTAACAGAGTTCAGTACTCGCGAAGACAGAGTTGCAGGAACTCATTGCATTCCTACAGGACCAATGCGACTCCGACATTAGAGACGCGGCTTGATCATCCGTTCTCTGCTTGGGATTCCAAAACGATCCGAGTGCTGTCGACTCTCCAAATCGATCTCGCGTCAAATACACACCAGACGGAAATGTCTTCCCTTTCCCGAGGATATACTCAATTTCCGCTTGCGTGACAAGCCGCTACGCAAGTAGACTGATCAACTCTGAATGTCGATCTTCACGGCAGCGATACGCCTACTACTCATGTAATAAAAATGCGATACGGCCGGATATGAGCACTGACGCAGGGCAAAAAGCTCGCGCACCTACACTGACGGAGAGGAGCTCGTTTGTCCTGCTCGACGACTCGCCAATAGAGAGGATTATCAATAACGTAATTACAAGCCACCTATATTATGGCTTGAAGATATGTCACTAATGCTGTCACTGTCCACGATGTATGACGCGGGCGCCCGCTTGTCTACTGGAAGCTGTCGAAGCACGCAATGCAAGCAAGAAGGCAAGCAGAGGGAAAACCCTCAGTACCACCCACAGAGCATAAATACACATTGCCATTGAGGGGGACTGAAAAGAACCGAGCAGGCCACCATGATCTATGGACTGGTGGCAACGCTCTTGCTTAACCGGATCTACAGCTCTTTTTCATCGGTCTCCGTGGCTGTAATTGCGTGTAACGTGTTTTTTCATGAGTCGGAGCACGTTCCCCTTAAAGCACATTAGGCTCGTACCTCGGTCTCGGAGGACGAATCTTGGCTTTCCAGAGGAGGAAGTCCTCCGCGGAGCCGAATGGAAAAGGTCGATGGGGAAAGACGGAGCAGAGGAATATTTTTGTTTCTCCAGTCAAAACATGCGTGAAAACAGAAGTTCCAGTCCCGTTCAGGATCTGGCTCATTTTTGATCCGCTCGACTTCGTGGCTCGCCATTCCGGTAGCGGACCAGCGCGGTTGACCAAAAGTCCGACCATGTTCGGAGCGATTCAATGGCAGACCGTGATGTCCCAGCGACAGGTGGTCAAAGAATCGTACGCTTTTCCTCCGGTTGCACCGAGCGACAGAGAATATTGGCCGCCGTTTGGTCAGCGGGCACCCTGTAAGTAGGTGGCGGGCGAACGGATGGTCGCTTGCCCACTCATCCGCCCGCCCGCTTTCCGATCGTCCGCTCGCCAACTCGACCGACTGAACACCCGGACGGACGGTCGCTCGCCGTCCGTCTGTACGGCTAGGACGCGGCTTTGCATTCAACATTGGAAGGGTGCGCTCTTTGCTCATTCCCTGCGCAATCCATCTTCGCGGGCGGTTGGCTTTTGCGTTTCGTCTTTCAGTTGGCCGGCTCAGATCCGTCTTGGGCTCGGGCGGTTCGCTCGCTCGCCCGCTCGCTTCTCCACCCCGCTCGCTCGCTCGCTTCTCCACCCCGCTCGCTCGCTCGCTTGCTTGGACGGCGGCTGCATTCATCTGCTGCAGGTGTTGCCGGACCGGCAATCTTTCTTTACGCTTCTCCTCCAGAATACGCTTCCATTCACCAGGCTGACGAGATACGCTCGCCGTAACATGAGTTCGCCATCAATAGCTGAAATTGAAGCGAAAGCGAGACCCTCCATTGCGAATCGAATTCGAGTGTTCCGGATACAACTCGCTGAGGATTTCCTCATCCCACGTCTCCGTGATCCGCGCAGAATTTTTTTCCGAGCTTCCGAATGATTCCGCGTTGATTCGATTTTTCCCATCGATCGACAGGAGAAGCTCCGGAATTATCGTCCGCGTAGAGCGGTATCGCGACATAAGAATGATTCGATACGAGCAAATGAGCAATCCATTCTAGGGAGCGGGCCAGTGAATCCATGATTAGTAGGTAGCGATCGAACAATCGAGCGCTCTCCTCCGTCGACGATGATGATCGCCCGCTGTTCAGGAACACTTGCGAACTGTAAGAGACAGGATGCCATGCAGAGCGAACGAATGTGCGCAGACGAGCAAACATCGCAAGAGACGAAGGAACCAACGCCGAGACGCGCATACATTCGAATGGATCCGTTGTGTAACGTCGCCGTGGAATAGCAAAAAATCTAATTGCGATTCCCCCTTCACTCGTCATCCCCCCAATTCCCCTTCGCCCGCGTCTAACCTGATGCTCCCGCTGTTGCCGACGCAGCCGCCGCTGCTGTTGCGTGCATGCCGGCCAGAGAGCAGCTAGCTGGAGAAAGACCAAAAAGATTCGGGGAGAGGGATCCACAAGCGGGGTGAGCCAGACGGAGCGAGAAAAAAAGATCAGGAGATGAAGGAGAATGCTTGGGGGAAGTTCACGGAGGGAGCAAGGTAGGTCGGCAACGGGAGAAACACGAGAGGAACAAGATTACGGAGGGGGTGATGGGCAAGAAGGAGCTCGAGTCGAATGGAAGAGTTGCAGGGGACGAAGAGGAATTCGAGAGATTCGTCTCGGGGAGGAAAGACACGTGAACGGGTGAAATTCGAGAAAGAACAGGGATCGGACTGACCCGGGAACCCGCCCCCTCACCCTCGAGTGATGAATAGGGAGAACAC